ATTTTAAGTTGGTAAATCAGCTGAATTGTTATTGATTTTATATTAAAAGGGATATCTCCCTTCCAATTCCTTGCTATTATTATTTTGCAGGCCATTAAACAGTGAATAATTAAAAATTGATTTATTTTATTTAATCTTGGCCATTTATAATGTAACAACATCATTTCTGGTTTTAAAGACATTTTAACACCGCATAGCCTATGGATGACAAGCTGAGCCCACTGCCATACAACAATCACTTGTTTACAAGACCACCACATATGAACATAATTTCCTTTTTCCTCTTTACATTTCCAACACTTTGTGTCTCTAGAAACATCAAATTTCGCTATTTTCGTTGGCGTCATATACCATTGGTTAACAAGCTTAAAGTGAGTTTCTATCAACACAAAGGAGTGGACATATTTATTAAATTTTTGTAGGGTAGATATCCATTCAGATAGTTCTATGTTTAGTTTTAGTTCACTATTCCATTTTTTAATAGCATTAGGCAGATCAGAATCATCCAATAAATCTAACATCCTAACACATCTAGAGAATAACTGCTTTGTCTTATTCTGGTATAATATTGATTTTAATATATCGTACATCTTACCCTCTTTTACTAACTCAACTTTCTCCAAATAATGTTTCACTCTAAAATAAGTATATACATCTTTAACAGAGATCTTAAACTCCTCTACCAGCATTTTATAAGTTTTAATTTTATCCTCTTTAATCAAATCTTTTACAATATGAATTCCTTTTTCTTTCCATAGTTTTAAGGAGATACTCTCCATGTTTAATTCTAATATTTCTAATTTTTGAAAATCGAATATTTTATTATCCAAATCAATTTTTTTCCTTATTTTTTGCCATATTGGAGAAATCTGTCCTAAAATGTACGATCTGGATAAGTTGTATTTTATTGAACTCCAAAATAAGTCTAAGGTATCACTGTGTTGGCTAGATTCTGATTCTGACTGCCACCAGACTTCCTCTTTATTTTGTTTTATTTGACTAGCCATTACATGCATAATAATTCCTGCTTCATAATATTTTCTTATGTTTGGATATCCTAGGCCTCCCTTCTTCATTCCTCTTGCTAATGTTCCAATTTTAATTCTGGGTTTTTTCCCTTGCCATACAAAATTAGAGAAGGCCTTATTGATCATTGTCAACCATGCATTCGGGATTTCTAATGGAAGCATTCTGAACATATAAATCCATTTTGGCAAGACATATGATTTTAGAATATTTATTCTTCCTCCCCAAGATACTTCTAATTTTCTCCATTCTTTCAGATTCTTATTAGTTTCTTTTAGAAGATCCATAAAATCAATTCGCATGGTACTATCTACCTTTCTACAAATTTTAATTCCTAAATATAAAAACACTTTAGCTTTAGTAAAGCCATATGTTTCTTGATAGGAATTTATTTCTTGCTTTGATATATTGATATATATAGCACTTGATTTTGTTTTATTTAATTTATAGTTTGATACTACACTATATGTATCAATTTCTGACATTGCATTTAATAATGATGTAGAATTACTCAAAAATAGAATAGTATCGTCAGCATATAGAGATATTTTCAATTCTTTCTGTTTTGCTTTAAATCCCTTAATATTTTCATTATTTCTAATTCTGTTAGCTAAAACCTCTAATGTTAATATAAACAATAAGGGAGACAAAGGGCAGCCTTGTTTGGTCCCATTACTCAATTTAAACCAGTCGGAGCAAATGCCCGGACCGATTGTTCTCGCCGTTGGATCTATGTATAGAGCCAAAATTGCATTAAGCAACCATCCCTGTATACCCACTTCTTCTAGGGTAAGCTTCATAAAGTCCCAGCTGACCCTGTCAAAGGCTTTTTCAGCGTCTAAAGACAGGATCAGCATGGGACTTTCTTTCTTTTGTGATATATCTAATACATCAATCAAGCGTCTAATATTATTACTTGACATTCTGTCTGGAACGAAACCTGTTTGATCAGGATGGATTAACTGTTTTATAACTTCTTTTAATCTGCTGGCTATGATAGAAGAAAATATCTTAATATCTACATTTATTAATGATATTGGGCGATAGCTTTGTACTTTAGTTGGATCTTTCCCTGGTTTCAAAATAGGTAAAATATTTGCTTTAAGCATTTCATCTGGGAATCTGCCCTTTTTAACAGCAGAATTAAAAATATTTTTTAAATGTATTGTCAGATGAGATTTCATTGTCTTATAGAATTTATTTCCAAATCCATCCGGACCTGGCGTTTTATAGGTTTCTAATCTGTCTATCATGATATTAATCTCTTCTTCCATAATCTCTTTATTTAGTTTATTTACCTGTGACTCTGTTATTTTATTCAATTTTGCTGATCTAATATATTTTTTTATTATTTCTGAAGGAGTGATAACTGAAAGACTATATAGATTGGCATAGTACTCATTGAATGCTTTCCCTATCTGTTCTGGTAGAAGGGAGATGTTGTCGTTAAAGATTATTTTATCGACCTTATTGGTCGTATTTCTTTTTTTCAACATATTAGACATTATTTTATCAGCTCTGTTAGATTTATGGTAATATTTAACTTTAAGTTTATGCATATTTATTTTAATTTTTTCATAAGTTTTTTCCTGAATCTCAGATTTAATTTTCTCTATTTTTAACTGAGTATCCTTAGTTGGATTTTCGTTATTTTTTTTATTTAGTTTATATAATTCAATATAAAGATCTTGTATATTTGCACCTTTTTTTTTTTCTTTAATTTATTAAGCATTATGCAATGTCCCCTTATTACTGCTTTATATGAGCACCATAGAATGTCATTCTCCACAAGTCCATTATTATTTTCCTCAAAATAACAAATGGTCATTTTATCTATATAGTCTTTATATTCCTTATTTGATAATAATGAATCATCTAACCTCCAGGTTGTAGTTTCATTACTCTTTGATTTATTACTGTTTAGTTCCAGACACACGCTATTATGATCTGACCATACTACTGGTTTAATTTCTATTTTATATGTTCTGTCTATTAGTTTTAAATCTCCAAATATAAGATCTATCCGCGAGTATGAATCATGGGGCCAGGAGTAAAACGTAAATTCTTTCGCTGCAGGATTGTTGAGTCTCCATATGTCAAATAGGCCTTCTCTTTTCATCAAATTGTTAAAAGTCCTTGCATTTTTTAAAACTTGTTTGTCCCAAATCAGATGTTTTTCAGAGAACTTATCTAATAGGGGATCTTGTATACTATTAAAGTCCCCTGCATATATCTTTATTCCTACACCTACTTTCTCAACTTTATTAATTACTTTTCTCAATAGACATAAGGGGTTTTTATTAGGCAGATAAATATTAATTAAAGTGAAGAGTTCCTCATTAATTGTGGCTATTAAAATAATAAATCTTCCCTCCAAATCTGTTTCCATAAATTTTATATTTATTTTTAGATCTTTTGCAAAAAATATTGCAACTCCTCCCTTTTTCCCCTCCTCTCTAGAGGAACAGAATTTTAAAGAATAAAAACTGCTGGTCCATCTCTTTTCATCCTGTTTACGCCAATGTGTCTCTTGGACCATAGCAATTTGAACATGTTCCTTTTTAAAATATTCTTGAAAAGCTTGTCTTTTTTGCGGAATATTTAGGCCTTGAATATTTAACGTTATTATTTTAACCATTGTCATATATTATTTTCTTGTTTGGATAGTCTAGTGAACTCTCTAAAAAAAAATAAAAAAATAAACAATTCACATTACAATACATACACGAAACACCTTCAAGTATACTAAGTACTTGTAGTCTGTTTGCTATCATTCCATAGACCCTAAAAAGAGTCAAAAAAAATTTTTCTTGGTGGGTTTTAATACCCACTTTTAACCGTTTTACAGGTTACGGCGAGGAAGACTATTTCTCGTTTTGAAGGAGCCAAATATATATATTATCTTTAACGTTCCCTACTTCCTCTTTCTTCTGCTCTATGAAGAGTTATACTACCACCCTTCTCTTCTCTTCCTCCTCTAAAGCGAGGAGAAAAAAGGAGGGGGAGACGAAGAGGAGAGAAAAAAAAAAAAGTAAACTAATTTTTGTCTGTATCACATTCTTTGATCCCTTTATTTCATTTATTTTACTACTCTTATCCATTTATATATATCATGATAGCAAAGCGAAGGAGAGAGAAGAGAGAAAAAAAAACAAAAAAAAAAAACACACACTTTACTTATTAAGTGCCCCTCTTTCCCTTTATTCTTTTTTTCCATTGTTATATACGTGTTCCTATAATTTGTTCTCAGAACAATTATTAATTATCAATCCTCCTTCATTCTATTTCTTTCTATTACCCATTTTTTCCCCTTTTTCTTTTCTTACTTCTTCCTTTCTTCTATATTCTATACAATATTTGTGTTTATAATAAAAAACTTTCCCTTTTTCATTCCCTCGTCTTGTGCCCACTTTAACTATTTTGATTTGTATTCACCTTTTATATTTATAAAGTGAAACCTTACCTTTCCTATTATCCCCTATTGTTATCAAAAGAGAAAAAAAAAAAAATTTTTTTATATATTTCTTCGTTTTTTTTTTCTACCAAATTGTATCTTTTTCAGTGCCAACTCTTATATCTACTTAATTTACCATTGTGCAGCAGTTATTCTATATTTACCGCTTTCTCCTCAAAAATTTAATGTGAAATACATACTTCCAACTAGTTTCCTCAAGTGTTTCTTATAAGTGAATCACATTACTACCATATACGTGTTTTCTATTAACCTATGGATTCCCTCTCTATATACCTTCTCCTTCATTGGTAACAATTTCTTCGCTATATCTTCTACATGTTGATTCAATGTCCTTTCTATTGTTCTAATTTTCTTTGGATCAATTTATTTCTGCTTATACTATTAAATCTTCAAACATCTTTTTCTTTTCTTTTCTTTTCTTTTCTCTCTCCTCCTTCATCCGCCATTATTTTTTTTCGCTTCTTCCTCTTCCCCCTCTTCTTCATCCCCTTATATAAAGTCATTTCTCTTTCTTCCTTAACCATTCTTCAATCTGAGATGGGGTCGTGAATATCTCACGTCTTCCGTCTGTAATTATCTTTATTTTACTGGGGTAGATCCATGAATATTTTATATTTAGTCTTCTTAGTGAACCAGTAACCGTCATAAATTTCTTTCTTTGTTGTCTGGTGTAGAAAGAAAAATCTTGAAAAATCTTAATATCGCCAAGCTTTTCTGTATTAGACTGATTTGTTCGAGCTGCATATAGTATAGCTTCCTTAAATTGATGGGACTGCAAATTAATTATTATATCTCTCGGTAGGTGTTGAGAAACCGAACTAGGTTTGCTTAAACGATGGTATTGTTCCATTTTGGTATTTAGAATTGACACTTCTATTTTGAGTGTTGCCCATAAAGTATCCAAATACTCAGGTATTTTATCTTGTGTAATTGCTTCTGGAACATTTCTTATTCTTAGGTTGTTTCTTCTTAAACGATCTTCCAAATCTCCTAGTTTTCCTTCTATTTGTCTCATTTGATTATACAGCTGCTCATTTTGTTCTTTGTTTGCTCTGCTTTCGTATTCTAAAGCTGTGATTTTTTCTTCACTTTGCTTTAGTTTTTCCAATATTTCCAGAAACTGTTTTTTTGTTTCTGCTGTGTTTTTATTAAATTCAGCAGTTATTGCCACCAATTGTTCTTCTAAACAGTGTTTTAGAAAATCTGTTGTAATATAATTTTCTGTTTGACTGGAAGGACTTTGATTAAAATCTTCACTTTTTGATGAATACATAATTGAGCTTTCAAGATTTTTTTCTACATTAGATTTTTGTCCAGGTGAAAAGAAACTTGAGGGGTTTTTACTTTTTTCTGTTTGTTGATCCTGCTTTGCTGCTTTCTTGATGGCAGCTTTTCCTGATGACTTGGTAGCCATATCTTTTTATCTTTTTTTCTTCTTCCTCACTCCCCTTATTTCTTCTCCTTTTCCTTTAATAAGAAGTTATTCAGTGTTCGCTTTTTCCTCTTTTTTTTTTTCCACTTCCTTTCCCCTCTCCCTCTCCTTTCTCTCTCTTCTCTCTCTTTTGTTTTATAGAGATTTTATTTATAATTATTCTTTATATTTGTTTATCTACTGCCAGTTTATCTTTTTCTCATCTCAGCATATACATCAGGATAAATAGAAATAGGGGAGGGTGGAAGTACTTAACTTATCTTCAGTTCGTTCTCCTCACATAAAACTCTTCAGATAGCGTTTCCATATCACTTCATATAAGTAGGTTTACGATCAAATTCTTGTCGACTTACTACCGGAAGCAGAGACTGCGGAGATTTACTGCTCACAACACTTGGAGTCTTGTCAGCCTTTTTGTCAGCCTTTTTAGCACCGTTCCTGCCTCGTATATCGGCAGAACGCCGCTTCCTCCTCCATCGCCGAGACGCCTCCTCGCCTCAGGATGCGTACATGCGCACGTGCGTGCGGACCTCCGCCCACCTCTACGTCATCACGCAAACCTCCGAGCCATTCAGTAACTTAATGAAGATTTGTGTGGTGAGGCCGGTAATTAGTGGAGATCAGCCTTTTGCTATTACTTCCACCAGTCAGCCATTACTAAATGAAAGAAAGGGAAACTACATTTCCCAGAAGTCCCTTGGATGCCAAGAGATGATGTTAAAGCGCTCGACCATTGTGTGGAAATCTATTCACAAACCGGACTTTACATAGGACACAAGGCCATGCGTTTAGACTGGAAGAAAGAAGATTTCATCTAAGGCAAAGGAAAGGTTTTTTTACTGTAAGAACAATCAGGATGTGGAATTCTCTGCCTGAAGGAAGTGGTTTTATCAGAGTCCATACAGATGTTCAAACGGCTACTAGATGCATACATGCAAGAACAGAATATTCAAGGATATAATCTTTCAATGTAGGGTAATAACTGCTTGATCCAAGGATAAATCTGACTGCCATTCTGGGGTCAAGAAGGAATTTTTTTCCTAGCTTGTAGCAAAATTGTGCTACAAACTGGGTTTTTTTGCCTTCTTTTGGATCAACAGCAAAAAGCAAATATGAGGTAGGCTGAACTTGATGGACGCAAGTCTCTGTTCAGCTATGTAACTATGTAACTATGTAAGTTAGAATGGAAAAAAAAATTGTGCAATAAAAACACATAGGAATCTTACATAAATATTCTCTTGGTATTGCAAACAGAAACAATCTCCATTGACAACACTGCGCAAAGCATTTTGGCTTAGATTCGCCTTCCTCAGGTGCATATCTACATCTTGCATAGGAGCCCTTTTTCAATGTATTCAAATGGCGCCAAACGCCAAAATGTGGCACACCCCCCGACGTGCCTAAGGGTTTCTGGTCTTTCCTTCCTAGTCCTAGTTTTTATCTTTCATGGTCTTATTTTTATCTGCACCATTTCTGATCTTTCTCTATTTTTTATCTCGTAGGCTGTGTATTTTTATTTATATTAAAAATGTTCACCCTGCAGGTCAAAGAAGCACCCTTTTGGAAAATGTAGATGAGTTCTTGTGTTTTACTTTTTATATTTGTACTTTCAACTTATTCTGGCATCCAGAATTAACTTTTTTATAATGAATAGCTTGTGGTTGGTAAACATAAATACCTTATACAAAGGGATGCATTCCATAAATGATGAATTGTGGTAAATGGAAACCAAATTGCAATATTCAGCATGTTTTGGTATTTCCAGCAAAGTTCTCTTTTGCTCACAGCTTATTTTCTACACTTAAACTAAAGGAGAAAGAAAATGAATAAAACAGTACACTGCAAAAACATTTAAAAACTTGTGGATTAGGAAATATCTTCTTACTTAGCTGTAGTCATAATTTTGCTATTTGAGCTCAAATTTTAGAATTTAATACAATTTACCGTGTAGTAAATAAATCCGAATTTGTCCTACCTCTTTGACACCCTAACCATCACTTACTGTGCACACCAAACGACAAGGGACTAGTGCTTAAAAAAATCTGTTTAAAGAAAAGAGATGCAATCAACCTGGTAACCTGCTAGGTTTTCCATAGTTGCATAGTTATATAGGCTGAAAAGAGACATGTGTTTCTAATATCTATTTTTGCAGTTTTCTGACTTTTTTTTTTATACAAAAGAAGGCAAAAAACCCAGTTTAAAGAGCTTCCAGTTTTGCAACAAATTAGAAAAAAAATCCTTCTTGACCCTGGAATGGGAGTTAGATATCTCCTGGGATGAAGAAGCTATTACCCCACTAATTAAAAATTATATCCCTGAATATTATGTTTTAGCAAGTATTTATCCAATTGATATTTAAACATTTGTATACACTCTTCAGGCATAGAATTCCACATCCTTATTGTTCTTACTGTAAAACCCCTTTCCATTGCCTTATACTGAAACTCCTTTCTTCCAGTCTAATGTATGATCTATATATGAATGAATCATGTTTATGAATAAAAAGGTTTTGTCTTTTGTCCCCCCCATGCATGTATTTGCTTTTTGTATTTTTTAAATTTTCTGTTATTCTTCTGTATTTTGTGCTCATATTTTGTTGTGCATTCACTATTTGACTTATTATTCTGAGCAAGGTTTTCTGAGTTGTCAAGTATGTTGCATTATGTCTAAATAAACTGGTACTTGGATTTGCATTACTGAAACTGTCTGTTTAATGAAAGTGCGGTCGACTTTTTTTTTTTTTTTTGTCGAAACCTGGCATTGATTTTTGCATTGAAAGCAGGTACACTGCAGAAGTATTTCCAATATCATGTGTACAAAAAAAGTGTGTAAAATAACACAATATCCAAAGAAAAAAATATATAAATAAAAAGTGATTGAGTAGCTATTGTTTAGAGGAGAGACCACCTAAGAAGACCACTCAGAAAGCGGTGAAGCCCTGAATGCGTTTTGCACCCCACCTGGTGCTTTCTCATTGTAAGTCCAACCTCCTCTCCCTGGTGTGGGTGACTGTATGTTATGTAACTCCATGTAAGTGACTATGTGTGATCACATGTGACTGTGAGTAACTGTGTGTGTGACTGTGTGTGTTACTGCGTGTAACTGTATGATTCAGCAAAAAAATAAAAAATCGGTCTGAGCACATATGGAGTGTCCAGGCAGATTTATGAAACAATAAGAGGCAAACACCCTAAAACAGTATATAGTGCATACAAATGTGCAAGAGTATTTACAATTGTAGAATTGTGTGCAAAGACAATCAAAACCATGCGCAAATAAAAAAGTGTGCAGTCAATAAGAACACATTGTAATGACATCATATTATCAAATAATAATAATTTCAATGCATATAGTAATTTGTGGACACCACAATTACAAAATCTAGAATTATACACATATTAAATAAGCAAAAATACAGAAGAGAGGCTATTTTTGAGACAAAACATTGCCTTTTACTGTTTAACCCCTTAAGGACTGGACTGTTTTTGCGATGTTGTACATTTGCGACAAGGCATATTTTTACACTTTTGTGGTGTTTGTGTTTGGCTGTAATTTTCCGCTCTCTCATTTACTGTTCCCATACAAATTATATATTGTTTTTTTTCAGGACAAAATGGTCTTTCTTTACATACCATTATTTATATAATCTCATGTATTTTAATAAAAAAAAAATAAAAAAATATGATGAAAAATTGAAAAAAATACATGTTTTTTGACTTTTACTTGAAAATCTTTTACTAATCTACAAAAGCAAATGAAAAAAACTGCTAAATAGATTCAAAATATTGTCCTGAGTTTAAAAATACCCAGTGTTTACGTGCTTTTCTGCTTTTTTTTTGCATGGTATAGGGCTATAAGTACAAGTAGGATATTGCGGTTTCAAAACATAAATTTTTAAAATTTATCAACAGTGACATTGTAACACTATTATCTGTCATAAATCTCTGAATAACACCCCACATGTACATATTTTTTTTAAAGTAGACAACCCAGGGTATTCAATATGGGGTATGTCCAGTCTTTTTTAGTAGCCACTTAGTCACAAACACTGGCCAAAGTTAGCGTTCATATTTGTTTGTGTGTGAAAAAGTAAAAAACTAAATTGAACGCTAATTTTGTTACTAAAAAAGACTGGACATACCCCATTTACAATACCTTGGGTTGTCTTCTTTTGCAAATGGTATGCCATCATGGGGGTAATTCTCATTCCTGGGCTACCATACGCTCTCAAAGGCAACGTAACCAACCTGGCCATTTTCAATGTAAAAATATTTGACTCATATATTTGACCCTGTAACTTTCAAAAATGCTATAAAACCTGTACATGGGGGGTACTGTTTTACTCGGGAGACATCGCTGAACACAAATATTAGTGTTTAAAAACTGGAAAACGTATCACAACAATTATATCATCAGTAAAAGTGCTGTTTGTGTAAGAAAAATTAAAAAAAAATCACTTTCACTGACAATATCATCGCTGTGATATGTTTTACTGTTTTGAATCACTAATATTTGTGTTCAGCGAAGTCTCCCGAGTAAAACAGTACCCCCCATGTACAGGTTTTAGGGTGTCGTAGAACGTTACAGGGTAAAATACAGTGCTAGCAAATTAAATTCTCTGGACTTTCGGCCTGGGTTGGCAGGCAGGTCCCTCAAATTGCAATTAATAAAATTACTTAATTATGTTAAAATATTACATAAATACGCACATAGAATTTAAATATATATGCATATTTACATATTTGAAATCTACGTGTATATTTATATAATTATTTATGTAATTGTGTATATGGATTTTGATTTAAATATCTATATATTAATTTTAAAATACAGTTAGAATAAAATTTCATATAGATATATAATTTTTTTTTCAATTTTTATTATTATTTAAAAAAAATTAAATTTAATTTAAATTACTTATTATTTATATTTTATAATTATATATATATACAATATATATAGTTATTATATATATTATATAT